TAGTTTTTTAATCTTTAAATGCAAAGGCTTTTAACTGTTAAATGTGAGGCTGCATAACCTTTAAATGCATATGTTTAACCTTTAAATGAATGGTCAATCTCTTAAGTGCCTAGATATTTACCTTTAAATGCCTGTGTTTAACTCTTCAATGACTGGGTGTACGCAACCTAGTACCTGTAGTTATCTAGCACAAACTGGTCTGCATATTGCAATGATAGTGAAAACCGACAAAACATTTTATGGACAATAAAATAATCCTTTTTCTTTTTTTGCATTTTGTAAGGGCCACAGGTTAATAGTGACTTAAGGCATGCATTTAAGGGTTAAAAAGACATGCTTTGTTAAAATGTATCTTAAATACATTACATTACTCTATTTTGAAACCCCTCACATCCATACCACATGAATATATTAACAATACACACATTTCCGAAATTCTCAGTAAAACATGAACAGTGCACAGCATTTCAGTGTGAGCAGACGGTGCATGTTAATGCATGGGTGAGGTGAGATTCAGTAATTTCAAATGTGACACACCGAAAAAGGCATGAATGCATTGTGGGAAATGTAGTTTATGCTGGAAAAATGCAATGAGAGTGAACAGACAAAGCCAGTTGCTTAGCAACCTTCCTGTTTCCATCAGAGACACTCCCACAATTGCTGAGGCACAGTTATGACTAACAACAAATTAAATAATAATGTCATTGCATACACACTTTCAGCGATAGATAGTAAACATGATTATGGTTATGACATTTATGACAGTTATTTAGCAAGTGAAAATAATCCTTGCTGCTAATCTTAGCTGCTGAACGAAAAAACTGCTCTTTAATTATAAATAACATTTTCAATATACACACATTTTGTCATAAATAAATATACATGAACCTTTTTAATGAAACAGAACTACACATGACTGTTTTTGACAGTCTAGGTATGTCAAATAAACGTTGCAATACAGTTTCTTTTCACAGTATGATTGTTTACATGTAGCTCTTGAATACTTTATGTTAATAATTACAATAGTTCATAATAACATGACAATAGTTTAGGAAAACCTAATTTGCCCAATTTCCCTCCTTAACCCAAATGTAGTATATCATCTGAGACATTTGGTGTCTGGAATTTGTTTGTTCAGTTTTAGCTTTAAGCTAAAAGGTTAATGTAGCTAACAAGTAATGCAAGCCTATACCCCACCAGTTGGCACTGGGGAAAACTGCACATAAATAACATATATAAAATATATTTTTGCGAGTGAAATTATCTTAAATCTACCTAATGTATATAATATTTCTCATTTTGAGAGTCCAGATAATTTAACATACAACCCCATTTTCACCAAAGTTGGGACGCTGTGCAAAATGTACATCGTACTCCAAAAAAGTTGGGACAGGGGCACGTTTACCACTGTGTCACCCTGTACATAGTGTTTAGCATTAATGGTGTCTTCACAGATGTGTAGTCTCCCATGCCATGTGCACTAATTCCCAACCATACCATCACAGATGCTGGCTTTTGAACTGTGTGCTGATTACAAGCCCGATCGTCTTTAGCCCAAAGGATACAGCGTCCATGATTTCCAAAAAAAAAATTCTAATTTTTATTCGGCAGACCACAGAACACTTTTCCACTTCATCTCAGATGAACTCAGGCCCAGAGAAGGCAGCAGCGTTTCTGGGTCCTGTTTATGTATGATTTCTTCTTTGCATAGTAGAGTTTTAACTTACATTTAAGGATGCAGTGATGAACTGTTTCCACAGACGGTGGTTTCCAGAGGTTTCCCTGAGCCCATGCAATGATTTCCACTACAGAATCATGTCAGGATCTTGGCCAGCCAATACTGGTCTTCAGCCTTGTCCCTTGCATACAGAGATTTCTCCAGATTGTCTAAATCCTTTAATGATATTGTGTACTGATGAAAAGCAAAAGTTCTTTGCTATTTTATGTTGAGAAACATTATTCTTTAATTGTTGTACTATTTGCCCACACTGTTTTTCACAGAGTGGTGAACCTCTCCCCATCTTAATTTTTGAAAGACTCAGCTTCTCTGGGATGCTCCCTCTATAACCAGTAATGTTACTGACCTGTTGCCAATTAACCTTCAGGGATTTTTTAGCATTACACAACTTTAACCGTCTTTTCTTGCTGCCGTCCCAACTTTTTTGGAACGTGTTGCTGCCATCAAATTAAAAATGGGCATATATATTTCAAAAAACATTTCTCAGTTGCAACATTTGATATGCTGTCTTTGTATTATTTTCAAAAATGTAGGATTTAAATGATTTGAACATCATTGCATTTTGTTTTCATTTACATTTTGCACAATGTCCCAACTTTTTTGGAAATGGGCTTGCATTTCTAGACTTTTTTTTCTTGTTTTAAATGATTTTATTAAGTCAAATTATCTCACTACATTGTCAGATATTTTTCCTTGGTATAAGAAATATGCTTGAAACCAGCAAAATCATCTGCCAATATAGTGAGATAATTCGACTTCATAAAATCACTTAAAACAAGTAAAAATGTCTAGAAATAAGTTAAATAATCTTGGCTTACAACAATATTTCTTAACACAAGAAATATTAAGATATATAGGCTGAATTTTCTGGGGGGTTTTTCCCCAATTTTCTCGTCTCCAATTCCACCCACTAGTTAGGACTCCCCCAGTCACACGATACTACCAACACAAGGAGGGCAAAGGCTAGCACAGGCTTCCTCCGAGACCTGTGAAGCCAGCCTCTGCATCTTTTCAAACTGCCGCTCACGCAACGTCACTGGACAGCTGAACGCGCTCGGAGGAAAGCGCCAGATCTGTTACGTCAGCTAACAGACGCCTGCGCTGACTAGCATCGCACTGGGCGATGGGGGTAGAGGGCGAGGGAGTGAGGCCAATTGTGCTCTGTATGGCTGTAGCATCACCAGGGATAGAACTCGGAATCTCCTGATGACAGGGCTAATGTTAGATGGTTGTGCCACTCGGGAGCCTCCTAATATATAGACTAAATAATTTCACTTGCCAAGATGCCATGTGAGAGCATGCTCTGTTTTCCAGATGACTGCTGTTACTGTTATTAGATAAGCAACATACTTAACAGTATTTCAACTCAACGTGCGTTCTTACTTTACTGTGGCAGTCAAAAAACTTATGTAAGACTACAGAGAATACATCAGAATGTCTGTGAAGGCGAACTACTATCTGAAAAAATATTCAAAAGTAACTAATAGCTGTAAAAACACCACTAGGACTGCATGTTCAGGCTGCGTGTTTTAAAGTTGGCACTGATGCTGCCGTATGACATGAACTAATGTGGCAGGCAAAAAAAAGGGCAAGGGCTCGAGCCCCTGTGGTCATCACACCCCTGTGCACACCAATGGAGTGAAAGGGTGTGCAAAACTGTGCATTATTACTTTTGAGACAAAAGGGGCAGGGGCTCAAGACCTGCATGTAGTTAGCACCTGCTAATTGGTGGGGTATATACTTTCATCACTTTTTAGCTATATTAGTCTCACAGCTCCAGAGTGAACGTAAAGAAGCTTCAGTACCAGAACTTCACATACTGAATATGTCTTGGCTTATCCACTACATTTCAAGTCAGGGGGGGAAACAGGGTAAAATAGACTTTATTGATTACAGTTGAAATAATTGATTACCCTCAGGCCATACTGTGCATCAGAGGGTTACCTGTTGGCCTCGACCAGGGCATTCCTCCAATTTATGACAGAACGCTGCCCTCAGCTTGAGTGAAAGCAGTGAGCACACCGTCTGAAATGTTATCTGCTTGTATACAACCAGCCACACATTTCCATGGTAATGGGTAGGACGTGGAAACTTGCAAGCAGAGTGGATTCATGCAGACATCTCAAAATAAACTCAAAACAGAGCATTCAGTTCAGCTGGACAGTAACAGAGACTTGCACAGTGCTTTAGCACACACACACCTGATGCATGCACATGTATACACACAGTTTAGTTAATCAAACCCTTCAGGTTTTTGAATCAGCCCTTACTTTGTGGTCCATGCACACATGCAGCTTTAATGGCTACTGAAACACAGCAGGTCTGTTGGAAATAAACAAGCAATTAAAATGGATAGAATTTGCAGACACACAACATCATACTCCTCTTAACTCTGCCATTTTAAGGAAGCACATCATCATATCTAACGTTTTATGTACATATCTCCCTGAATATGTTTGCTGTTGATAAAGTCCTCAGAGAGTCTCTTTATTGCCAGGAATTTTATGAATTGCACACAAAAATGAATAGCAGCCTCATTCAAAGGGGAATTCTACCAAAGTTTTCAAATTTCTGCATAATTAAATTAAATCATCAAGATGTAAATGAGGTCGTTCAGATGGTTTGATGTAAAGTACTCCATGTTAGAGAAACTTACTGAGTCAGAATTGTCAGTAAGAGGAACTAGAATAGGTTCGCCTCTAAAACCTCCCTTACAGCAAAGGTATTACATAAAATTGTTATGAATACTCTGACATTACTTTGTGATAGTGCTGAGAAAGTTTGTCTTAAAAAGCTCTATCTTTCTTAAAAACCATTCATTGTGGAGGGGAACATATAAGATATTGTAAGACAAAACAACAATTTTATGTTTTTCCAGATTTACCATCATCAACATATAGCTATCTATCTATATATCTACCCAGGTACAGACTATAGTTGATCTGTTACTGCACAATATATCAGGCCCACCCTACCCCTTCCATCAATAGAAAGACAATGGGACCACTACTGACTAGATATTATGTGAGTGGTGGTTCATTCTCAGCACAGCAGTGACACTGACATGGTTTTTACTCAGTAGGTACACTTACATCTTAGCAGCATGTCACACACTACCATTACCACTACTATGTCAGTGTCACTGCTTTGTCACCACCCAAATAGTACCTGATCAGTGTTGGTCCTATTGTGTGGTACCTTCCATTCATGGACAGGGTAGACGGGGGCTGATAAATACTTTTTTGATGAATTGGCCAATAAGTGCAACTACAAAGTTCAAGTACCTAATAAACTGGACACTTAACGGAGATATATCCATAGTCTTAGTAATTGCTGCTGGTTATTGATTGGCTGTGTGATCAGAGGGTTGATGGGATAGGTGATTGAGCACGTCTGATTGGACAGGGCGAGCTGTAGGGCGTAGTCACTGGAGACAGGTGCAGGTTACCTGCCAAGCCTGCTATGCTGTTTAAACTTCGAGATTTCACACAGCCTTCGGACACAAAAGAACGCAACATTACCACACACATAATGAACAGGTGTATGCATAATTTTGGCCACTCCTCACCAAATACATATTTTATTGAAATTTTATGTGAAAAGACATAAACACAGCCACTACCGCTAGCTATTTTTAAAACCTTTTCCGCAAATGTTAATGCACAGTTACTTTCTATAGAAAAAACAGGGTAATTGTGGAATATGCAAAAACGTTAATTGACTTGTTAGGACAGGTTAGGCAAGTCAAGAACTACCATTAGCAATTGTAATGAAGAGTCATTAGAAGGAAACCTTACCTCAGACCAATGTAAGTAGTGTGCAAAACAACATCTAGATAAACTAGAGGCATTTTGGAATTAAGTGCTGTTGACTGATGAAATAAAAATGGAACTGAAAAATGTTCCTTGGCCACAATCAACAAAGATATGTGTGGAGAAAAAAGGGGCAGCATTTGATGAAAAGAATACCTTGCCAACTGTTAAGCATGGAGATAGATTTATCATGCACATTGCACGAGTAAACGTTTGCATGGGTAGATGTAAGAATTGATTCCACTAATTAGCAATACATTCTGAAGTATTTGGAATGGTCTTCACAGTGCACTCACTTGAACACCATTAAAAACACCCTCTTGGGTAGATCTTAAATATGCAAGAATATCACAGAACTAGAAGCATTCTGCTAGGAAGACTGTGTAAAGAACAAGATTAGAAAGACTATTAGCTGCCTACAAAACATGTGCAAAAAGGGGGTGTCACTTAATACAAACCTTTGTACCCAAATGCCACAAAATGCCACAAATACTAGTTTACTTAATTAGTTTTAAACATAATCCAATATATAATTTAAATGTGCATTAACATCTGCAGAAAAATATTATTTTTAAAATAGCTACAAAAGTTGTATTTACTTCTTATCACTTAACAAATCAAAGAAATTTGCCATTTGGCCAGGGGTGCCCAAATTTTTTGCCTACAACTGCACACAATATATTATTTGGTGAAAAATGAGAAGGTTTAGTTATTACTAATAGTCTGATGTTGGAATTATGGCCGATAATTATAATTCATGCTTCACTTTTGCGCATGAAAATCAATATACATTTGAAAAATGAATCTTTTCAGCCTGTCAAATTGATCAACTCTCTATTTATATTTAAAACCTTATATAGCGTGCAAAAAATAAGAAGGGTTAGAAAAACATTGGTGTAGGCTTCCTCTCAAATATTTGGGGGGACGCACTGCTCATAACACCTGACCCAAAATGCTAAACATTCTTACCTTGAGCACAAATACACAAATATAGACCTGCTAGACCTACTAAACTAGCTAAATATTTTTTGTATTTATTTTTACTCAATTTTCTCGCCAGTTTCATCATTGCCAGTTTCATTCACTAAATAGCCATCCCCCTTAAACATGATGCTACCAAGTGAGGAGGGTAAAGGCTAGCACATGCTTCCTCTGAGACATGTGAAGCCATATTTTTTGAAATGCCACTAATGCAATGTCATTCGACAGCTCAACGCACTTGGAGGAGTGTGCTAACTGCCAGTTCTGTCACGTCGTGCTGACTGATGGGGGGTCATCCTACACATCCAGAGACAGCGAGGCCAATTATGCTCTCTTGTACTCACAGCCACAGATCAAAGTTTAGTATTAAAAAATAATGTTTTTTAGCTGAAATCAGCTGAAATTTCCAATTGTCATTATCGACCTAGAAATTCCATATCACCTCAACTCTACTACATACATTTACACACAACCATACACACACACAAACACTTATCTCCAAACATTTTCAGTGCATTAGCATTAGCCAGGTGCAAAGCAGTGTAGAGGTTCCTCATGCATATACAAATCAAACAGTTTTGATTGTCAGCAGTGTCCAATGATCAGAATCCTAACAACAACCTGAACCTACTGAAAATTCATACCTACACAGCTCTCACACACCAGCATGACTGCTTATTATTCCACTGGAACATTGGTAATCACAGGACGTCTTCATTTTGACCACTAGACACTTTCTTCTTGTATTAATGCTCTCAGTAATTGTGAGAAGGCAAATTTATTCAATTCTACTTTTTTTTTATATTTCAAAGAATATTTAATGGTATGTGGCTATATACTCAATGAACCTGGTGATGATGACTATCAAGGATGTGAGTGAAAATAATGTTAGTGATTAAATGTGTCATGGATGATTATGGGAGAATTATGCTGTGCTTTAGGTTTGCCTAATAAAGGCCACAGTCCATTCCAGGATACTATTTTATCTGTATTGTACATTTACAGCCTTAAATTTGTGTTTGCACATCATGGCACAAGCTGCAGTGTTCGCCTAAACATAAAAACTCAAGCTATCAGGTCCTAAAATATTATGAAGGATATTTTTACAGTCATTGTTTACGTCAGGCCTCGACCACAAAGCTACATGCTGTTTTTGCTGCCATTTCCAGTCAGCAGATGTGTATCATTGGGAATTATGTGCTATATTTTAATTTGAATACATGCTACAAAATTGCGGTAGAGGAAGTTTAGTGTCATATATTGTAGGGCTTTCCATTAGCTGTGCTAGTGATATGCCAACAGGAACAAGCACTAACCTTCAGAATTAACCTTCAGGTGGCCTTTCGTGATTATCCTGATTGGCTGAAGTGAGGCTGTGAAAGATTGTGACCTTACCAACACAGCCCGCTGCCTCAAGGAAGGTCACATTATCTCTCTCTCAGGAGGTTTAGCATGCTAGTGACACTGCATGTCAAGCATTGTAGCCTGGGCTGCTAAATATCTACATGCTCTTTAGAGCTGGAAATCCTTAGAGATATAATCTACGGGACAGAAGTTTGTGGTCAGTGTCGGAAAAAAAATTCTTGCCTTCCCAGCACGTCTAAAATCTAAATAATGTAAGAAAATAATGAAGGTTCTAATGGGTGCAATAACATCTATACTGGGGAGCAGTGAGTAATGTTAATTGTTTATCTGATGTTTGTAATAACACCTTTAGAGGGCAACAATGAGTAGGTTATTTATTTGATGTTTGTCAATAAAGCCTTTAGATGGCAGCGGTGAGTAATGTTTGTTTATTTTAGCTGTTTCTGTCTTCAACTGGAAATTCTCCTCTGTCTTTACCAACACCTGCAGTTGAAGCTACTCAGAAATTCTAAGCTAAGCTATTGACAGCTAGCTAAGCAGCTAAAACTAAACGTATTGTTTGCTATTACCATCATATTTGCATCAAACATCTTTTGCAAACACTTGCAGTTAAAATGAATATTATTAAGAAATGCTAAGCTAATGTAAGCTAAGCTAAGCTAGCTAGGTAGTTGACGCTAAATTGTTAAAAACAAACATGCATCACAAACATTACGTTAACAGTTACACCCTTAATTGTATTACATTACATATAACGGAATATCTTTTGCAGAGGAGATGAAACAAGACAAAAATTATAACAGATGTTTTTATGACCAGCTTTTCCACTCTTCTGACCTTGTGTTTGAAGGAAGCATATTTCACATAGTAAGTATCAGTGACTGTGACCATGATGTGCAGACACTGTGGCCTATTAGAAACACAGGGGGAAACTGGAGTGACTGATGATGGAGAGTCAATGGAGAAAATGGTCATTTAGAGTTAGACTGGAGCTGCGATGTGATTGGCCCTTGGTAGTGCACCTGTTTTGCGAATGGCGGTCTCTGCAGTGCAGGTATAGTCGCTGGGTGCCAACAGGAAGCAGGTTCCTCCACTGTGTCGATCAGGCTCACGCATGCTAACCCGCCGCATTGGCACCCGCTCCTCTGGGGACATTGTGATGTCGCTTCCTGCACTAAAGTCTGCAGATAACACTAGAGGGAGGGGAAAGGTGAGGAAGAAGAGGTCAGGGAATTTAACTAAGAAAAAAATTATATTTTAACAAATATGAATGCACAGTTGACATTTTGTTATACTTTTTAAATGTAATTATTCACATAGAAAGTTATTTAATAAAGCACATTTGCATTTGATTTACATTCTGATTGAACAGGTTTGAGTCTGCACTTCTGACTTTTTTGTGTCAAAAAAAGACAAAAACCCTGTAAAGGATGTTTCTCTTTCCCCAAAATAAGACTGTACACATAACAATAACTTTTCAACTTCAAATCATCATAAAATATATCCCCTTCTTACAAACACAAACATGGAAATGGATTCAAAGTTTAGAATCTGCACTTTCCACAAAATTTCTCCACTTTGATCAGAACACACCTTGCGTCTTGATAGTGTCTGACAACAGATTTACAACAAAGTAAAACAAAAACATCAAACTACAGTGTAAGAGCTGTGATTTTTACAGTGAATTGCCTTAATTTGTGGTGCAATACTGACTTGTTATATAGTTTATGTTTTAGCATGAACCAGGGCTGCCAGTAAGGATGTTTGTTTTGGCCCTTCAGAAAGTTATCCACTAAGCTAACCACACCCTCTCACCCATTGACAGAACAAATATATAGCTCTGCATATAGTTTAGCAAAAAAATATATTTTAAAAAGCTCAAAAAAAAGGCCCTATAACAAACATTGCACTTTGGCCTGCTAAGACTTTCTACATAAACAGATGCCATGTTAAGTGTTATGAGCTTTCCTATTCACTGTCCAACTAGTGACCTGTCTTGTCCTCTATAACATCTCTGCCCAAACACACTGTGACACAACCAGACTGTGAATCAAACAGTGTCTGACCCAAACACACTCTGACTCAAACATACTCTGACACAAACGTGCTGTGGCCCAAACACACTATGACCCAAAGATGCTCTGACCCAAACACACTCTGACCCAGACACACTGCGCTCAAAACACACTATTACCTAAACATTCTCTGGCCCAAAAACATTGTGAAACAAACATGCCATATCCCACACACGCTATGTCCTAAACACACTATGACCCAAATATGCCATGACCCAAACAGGCTACGTCCCAAATATGTTCTGACCCAAACACATTATGCCTCAAACATGCTCTGTCCCAAACACTATGTCGTAAATAGACTCCGACCCACACATGCTGTAGCTCAAACACCTTCTGACTTTCACACGCTCTGAACAAAACACATTATCCAAACATGTTATGACCCAAAAATGCTCTTACTCAAACATGCTACATCCTAAACACACTCTGTCCCAAACACACTATGACCCAAAAACACTATGATCCAAACACTATGATCCAAAAAAATGCTCTGACTCAAACACATTCTGACCTAAACACGCTATGAACCAAACATGCTCTGACCCAAACACACACTGACCCAAACACATTGTGATCCAAACATGCTCTGATCCAAACAAACTCTGAACCAAACACATTGTTATCCAAACATGCTTCAAACCAAACACACTATAACTCAAACATACTGTAGCCCAAACACCCTCAGGAACTTGCTTTGATTAAAACATACTGTAACCCAAATACACTGTGACCCAAACACCCTATGACCCAAATATACTCTGACCCAAACACATTGTGACCTAAACACACTCTGACCCAAACACACCCTAACCGAAACAAGCTCTTATGTAAACATACTACAACCCAAACACGTTGTAGCTCAAACATCGCCTGACGTAAACATGCTCTGATTAAAACACACTCTGAGCCAAACACAGTGTGACCCAAACACACTCTGATCCAAACACACTCTGACTAAAACACACAATGTTCCAAACATGCTTTAAACCAAACACACTCTGGCCCAAACACACACTATAACTCAAACATACTGCAGACCAAGCAACTTCTGGCTTAAACATGCTTTTATCAAAACACTATTACCCAATTTCTCACTGACCCAAACACACTCTGACCCAAACATGCTCTGTTCAAAACACACTCCAACCCAAACACTTTCAAACTCAAATACACGTTTTGTACATAATCTGTTTTTATTTCACCTGATCTGGGTTTTTCACTCCATCTATGCTGTTTTTTGTATCTGACTGTACACTTTGTACCTGATCTATGGCGCTCTAGCCCACGACCCTGGGTGCTGTTGCAGGCCATGCTGAAGTCAGTCCTGCAGTAACCCGGTGACCCGGCCTGGATGGCCTGAGGGATATGCTTCTTTCGCTTCTTGGGCAGCTTCTGTTTGGCCATGGCTAGAGAGTAGTACATGCCAAAGTTATTCACAATGACAGGCACAGGCATGGCTATCGTTAGTACACCTGCCAGGGCACACAGTGCCCCCACCAGCATGCCTGACCACGTTTGTGGATACATGTCCCCATAGCCCAGAGTCGTCATGGTAACCACAGCCCACCAGAACCCAATAGGGATGTTTTTGAACATAGTGTGGTGGCTAGCTGTGGGGTCGTTAGGGTTAGCGCCAATACGCTCGGCATAGTAGATCATGGTGGCGAAGATGAGGACTCCAAGAGCAAGGAAGATGATGAGGAGGAAAAACTCATTAACGCTTGCCCGAAGGGTATGACCCAAAACCCGCAATCCAACAAAATGACGGGTTAGCTTGAAAATCCGAAGGATCCGGACGAATCGAACAACTCGCAGGAAACCCAACACATCTTTGGCCGCTTTGGATGAAAGGCCACTCAGCCCAACCTCCAAGTAGAATGGCAGAATGGCCACAAAGTCAATGATGTTTAGGACACTCTTCACAAACTCCAGCTTATCAGGGCTGAAGGTCACTCTAACCAGGAACTCGAAGGTAAACCATAAAACACACACACCCTCCACATAGGTCAGTGCTGGGTCTGTCTCGATTTCATACTGCGGGGAAACCTCCAGAAGACTGTCATTCCTTAAGGTGTCGGTTTTGTTTATGATGGTGTTGAAGGCTTCATGGGTTTCCAGGCAGAAGGTGGTGATGGAGACCATGATGAAAAACAAAGAGGCAAAAGCCACAAACTGGGGAAAAAAGAGAGAAAGAGAGTAAGCACAATCCTTCAAACTGTAAATAACACCTTGCTTGCATGTAGTTTGTACACTAGAAGAGGAGACAGTAGTCCATAAACAACCAGATAAACCTTTCTGAAACACCAAATGAGATGTTAGTCCATAAATAACCTCAATCACCAATAGGAGATACTAGTCTACAAAGAACCTAAATGAACAGCCCTTCATGCTAGATTAGGGAATAATGGTCCATGAATTATCTTAATAAACAGTCCAATAAACCAGAATAAGAAATACTTACCTTTTTAAACATGTTCCTATAGAGCAGGATAGAAAATATTTGTATATAAAGGTCCTCAATAAATGTCTTAAGCACTAGAGTAGGACATATTAGCCCATTAATAACCTCAATAAACACTCATATGCACTAGAATAATATATATTTGCCCATAAACAACCTAAATAAATGATCCTGTATGCTAGAATTAGAAATACTAGTCCATAGACAACCTCAATAAACACTCCCATGCACTAGTATATGGTAGATTAAGTTATAAACAGCCTCAATAAACATCTGTTCTTTGTCTCCCTCTAGTGGCTGGGGGACTTAGCAGGTGGCTGAGATGTTATATAATGCCCCCCCACCCCACCCCCAGGAATGGCTCTCAATGTTCCCAACCAGCAACTGCCGGGCGGTGTAGGCTGGGGACCTAGTAATCAGATGTGGTGGTGGAGGGAGAGGGGCTGGAGCAATGGGGCACCATTTATGATCAACTACTCTCTTCTGCATTGCTGCAGCTTTTTGCAGTGCAATGCAGGCCTTCTGCCAAGTGTGTCAACATCACTGAACAACGTCACGGGCTGCGGGGGCCTCTACTTGTGACTCCTGTTCAGGAACAGGGGCAAAGAGTACCCAAATCAGCACTCGTATGGCGACATGCCCAGAGAGGAATGCCACAAGGTGTTATGGGCATACTCCGCCCAGAGCAGGTGCTCGGACCATGTGGATGGCCTAGAGGATGCCAGGCACCTGAATGTTCATTTGAGGTCGTGATTTATCCTCTCAGTCTGTCCATTAGACTGAGGGTAAAAGCCCAAGGATAATGGCCCCTAGCAGCTGACAGAATACCCTCCAAAATCGGCTGGTGAACAATACGTTTGTAGGGAACCCATGGACCCTCACCACATGTTGCAATAGCAGTGTGGTGAAGGGAGTTTCAGGAGTGTGATGAATTTGTAAGCCTTGGAAAATCGGTCAACCACAACCATCATCCCCATGTTGCCTTCAGACGCAGGCAAGCTGGTGACAAAGTCTAAGGAAATCTGCGACCACAGCCGAGATGGTATGTGCAGGGGATGGATCAGGCCTGCTGGTCATGTTCTGGGCTCCTTGTTCTGAGTGCAGTCCTGGCAAGCTGCTACATGTTGGATCTCCAGAAGCATCTCTTCAGAAACTCCAGTGAACCTGGATGGCTAATAAAAGGGGAGGAGTGCCCCCACTGGAGAAGCTGGGCCCTGACAGAAGAAGGAACATACTGCCAACCCAGGGGCCCATCCCCAGGGTCCAGTTCAGCTCGAGGTGCCCCTGGATGGTGGTTTCCAGCCCCCAGCATAACAGGATGACAATTCAGAGACAATTCATCTAGAATTCTAGGCTCTGGAGGTTGGTTGATAGATGGTGCCTCCCACTGTTTGGAGAGGGCATCTGGCTTGATGTTCCCTGACCCCAGCTGATATGAGAGAACAAAGTCGAAGGCCAGCCACCTGGCCTGGTGCAGATTAAGACACTTAGCCTTCTGAATGTAGGCCAAGTTCTTGTGATCTGTCCAGATCAGGAAAGGTTTCATGGCTAGGAACTCTCGACCCCCAACATTGTATTTGCATTCAGCGGGGTTATAGTGGTGGGAAAAGAGGTAGCAGGGATGGAGTTTGTGGTTGTCCTCAGAATGCTAGGACAGGAACGTCCCTACGTGGCTGTATATGAGAATATCGTCAAGGTAGACAAACAAGTAGTGATTCAGGGTCACTCACGTTAATAAAATGATGGAAGACAGCTGGTGTGTTCATTTGCCTGTAGGGCATCACAAGGTACTCATAATGGCCTGCCAGGGTAATGAATGCTGTCTTTCATTTGTCACCTTGGTGCACCCTAATGAGGTTGTAGGCAAACACAAGACCAGTTTAGTAAAAACTGAGGCCTGCTGCAGTGCCTGAAAAGCTGAAGACATCAGCAGAAAGAGGTAATGGTTCTTTATGGTGATTTTATTGACCCTGGTAGTCAATGAGGGAAGGAGACCGCTATCCTTTTTCCCTACAAAGAAACCACTCCTCCACAGACTGGATGGTCAAATGTATGGTGCATTGCGGCCATAAACAGTTCTGAGGAGGAGAATGTGGTGTCCTCATTTTCCCAAACAGGGGTGGCCCAGGCAAGGACCCTGTAGCTGAGTCAATATTTACCGCAGCACTTGCTCATGACACCCAATGGCAGCACCCTGATTGGCTAGGGCACACCTAAGCTGCTCCAGCTGTATCCATGTTCTGCCTCAGTCTTGCTGTAACGTGGTGGCTGGCTTATCCCAAATGAGAATCGAACCGACAATCCCTGTGTTAGAAAACACAGTTAACTCTGGGATAACCTCATGATGCAGGGATGAGCGCGCTACCGCTAAGCTACCACAGAAATGCTGTAAAGAGCCTCACAGCAGCATCCACAAACAAAAGAGAGTTTCTGAAAACTAAACGCTAAAGCAGTTGACAGAAAATGACACTTACTTTTGTTTGATAACGTTGAAAGATTGAGAAAACAGCACTCAAGACTCAGAGGAGTAACCAATACCAAAGTTATCGGCTTAGTCAGAGAAATGTGCTCGTGGTAACGTGAACTCAAGACTGAGTTGAACTCAACTCAAGACTGCCCTGATATATCTGCCCCAGTCAACTGTAAGTGGTCTTATTGTGAAATGGAATTGTCTCGGAGCAACAACAGCTCAGCCATGTAAAGGGAGACCATGCAAACTCACAGAGCAGAGCTGCCAAATACTAAAGCAAGCAGCACAAAAAATTGGCTCTGTTAAATCACTTACTGCAGAGTTCCAAACTGCCTCTGGAAGCAGCATCAGCACAGAGTGTGTTGGGTGTTTAATGAAATAGGCTGCCATGGCTGAGCAGCTGCACACAAGCCTAAGATCACTAGACACAATGCCAAGCATGTTCTGACAGTCTGATGACTGAATCTGAATTTGGCGAATGCCAGGAGAACGGTCCCTACTGGAATGCACAGTGTCAACAGTAAAATTTGGTGGAGGGGGAATAATGGTCTGGGGCTGTTTTCTCAGGGTTGGGGCTCAGCCTCTTATTTTCAGTAAAGGGTAATGTTAATGCTACAGCATACAAAGACATTTTAGACAATTATATGCTTCCAACTTGTGGCAACAGTTTGGGAAAGGCCCTTTCCTGTTCCAGCATGACTGTGCCCTTGTGCAAAAAGTGAGGTCCATAAAGTAAGTGGCCTGCACAGAACCCTTACCTCAATCCTACTAAACACTTTTGCGACCTGGGCCTTCTTGTTTAACAACAGTTCCTGACTTCAAAAATACTCTTTTAACTGAATGGGCACAAATTCCCACAGACACACTCCAAAATCAACACTACAAACTCTTCTGGAAGGCTGACCACAAAAGGAAAGGGGATGGAAGTGGGAGTGGAAGTTAATATCCATGGTTTTGGAATGGGATTTCCAACAAGCTTCATTAAATGTGATGGTCAGGTATCATACTTTTGGCCATATAGTGTACTTGAATAGAAAGTATTAGTCCATAAACAACCAGGAGCTCAGTGATTTCCAGCGTGGTACCGTGACAGGATGCCAGCTGTGCAACAAGTCCAGTTGTGAAATTTCCTCACTACTAAATATTCCACAGTCAACTGTCAGTGGTATTATAATAAAGTGGAAGCGATTGGGAACGACAGCAACACAGCCACAAAGTGGTCGGCCACGTAAAATGACAGAGCGTGGTCAGCGGATGCTGAGGCGCATAGTGCGCAGAGGTCACCAACTTTCTGCAGAGTCAATTGCTACAGACCTCCAAACTTCATGTGGCCTTCAGATTAGCTCAAGAACAGCCTAGAGAGCTTCATGGAATGGGTTTCCATGGCCGAGCAGCTGCATCCAAGCCTCACATCACCAAGCGCAATGCACAGCATCAAATGCAGTGATGTAAAACGCCGTGTTCTCTGGAATGACAAATCACGCTTCTCCCTCTGGCAATCCGATGGACGAGTCTGGGTTTGGCAGTTGCCAGGAGAACGGAACTTGTCTCACTGCATTGTGAAAGTGTAAGTGAAGTGTAAAGTTTGGTGGAGGGGGGTTATGGTGTGGGGTTGTTTTTCAGAAGTTGGCCTCGAGTTGGCCCCCTTAGTTCCAGTGAAAGGAACTCTTAATGCTTCAGCAGACCAAGAGATTTTGGAAAATTTCATGGTCTCACTTTGTGGGAACAGTTTGGGGACGGCCCCTTCCTGTTCCAACATGACTGCGCACCAGTGCACAAAGCAAGGTCCATAAAGACTTGGATGAGTGAGTTTGGTGTGGAAGAACTTGACTGGCCTGCACAGAGTCCTGACCTCAACCCGATAGAACACCTTTGGGATGAATTAGAGCGGAGACTGCGGGCCAGGCCTTCTCGTCCAACATCAGTGTCTGACCTCACAAATGCGCTTCTGGAAGAATGGTCAAATATTCCCATAAACACTCCTAAACCTTGTGGAAAGCCTTCCCAGAAGAGTTGAAGCTGTTATAGCTGCAAAGGGTGGGCCGACATCATATTAAACCCTATGGATTAAGAATAGGATGTCACTCAAGTTCATATGCGTGTGAGGGCAGACGAGCGAATACTTTTGGCAATATAGTGTATTAGTCCATAAATAACCTCGAAAAACAATATGGTACACTAGAATAAGAGATATTAATCCATAAACGAATGCTCAATAAAACCTAAATGCTACAATAGGAA